TCTGATTGAGGAATCCCTCATCTTTGGAAAGAGAGTTTATTACAGAGAAACGTCTCTTTCCAAAATAAAAGCTATACTATCCGCTTCTTCTGGGCTATATTCTCAGGAGCATATTAAACATATCAGGTCCCCATAAGGAGAATCATGTGCTAACGGCTGTCTAAATGACTCGGGTAAAGTTTGTAGCATGCATGCTTGTTGTTTTTGTCTTTGCACTAGGATGATGTCGGCGTAAATGTGCAGTCATATTCGTTGTGTTCCCACTAGTGCTTTCAGGTTAACCTCGTTAAAATGACGTTAACGCCACAACACCGCAAATCTCCGTTAACGAGCTACCCCTGATAGCCCCGTGCATGGGGCTAGACAGCCAACACGTTAACGAGCTAACTGCGCTAACACACTAGCTCCCACCCATGTAATTAAGCATTGCTGGCACATCCAACATACTGTTTTACTTTAGTCCATGACGCGCTTACCTCCAGGGTCATACGTCACATGAAAACCAAAATAATTCCAAACGCCAGATCTGAATGAGGGTGGGGGAGGTTCAATTTGCCATGTTGCAAGGAGAGCTTAACTTCTGTCTCGCTAGCTTGCCCTGCGCTCTTCCTTCTGACTATGCTGTCTGTGTGGAGCGCTCAGTGGATCTGCGCTCGACAGTGCAGCCTAGGCGGAGTAGTCGAACGCAGATTCACTGAGCGCTCCACACAGACAGCATCGTCAGAAGGAAAGTTGATAAAATAAATTACAAATGTTGTATTGTTCGATATCATACGTATCGCACCGAACCTATCAATAATATATATATATATTTAATAATATATATATATATATATATCATAATAATCTGACAATACATATAATATTGGCCATATTATATTTACATTACCACAGTGAGATGATTTTAGTCTCATGAAAAACATTAGCTAATTGTTTCTTACTAACTACTCTTGAAATGACTGTTCAGTACAGAAATGAAGCCCAACAATCATGTTTTACAGTCCTGTGGTCTCAGCCTCAGATACTCAACTAATCACAGTGATGTCATGACAAAAATGAATGACCAACAAAACATTTTTTCTCCTTCATTTCTGTCAAACAATGCTGTATGTAACGTTTCTCGCGGTTAGTATCATGGTTGCTAGGCAACCTGAACAGCGTGACGAAGGCTAGACCGTCCCATTTCACAAGCCTCTCACTTCCGCACTTCTCGTACTTATAGTACGCACCGTACGTAGTACGCGTAGTGCACGTACTTCAAGCGTGCGGTCTCTTAATTGGGACACAGCCCCTGTCTGCCTAAACAGTGAAAACCGTGACTCATCTGTGAATAGAACACCTCTCCAACGTGCCAAACGCCATCAAATGTGAGTGTTTGCCCACTCAAGTCGGTTACAACGACAAACTGCAGTCAGGGCCAGACCCAGATGAGGACGACAAGCATGCAGATAAGCTTCCCTGAGACGGTTTCTGACAGTTTGTGCAGAAATTCTTTGGTTATGCAAACTGATTGTTGCTGCAGCTGCCTGGGTGGCTGGTCTCAGGCGACCCTGGAGGTGAACATGCTGGATGTTAAGGTCCTGAGCATGTGGGGTCACACGTGGTCTGTGGTTGTGAGGCCGGTTGGATGTACTGCCAAATTCTCTTAAACGCCTTTTGAGACGGCTTATGATAGAGAAATGAACATTCATTTCATGGGCAACAGCTCTGGCAGACATTCCTGTAGTCAGCATGCCAATTGCACGCTCCCTCAAGGGTTGCGACACCTGTGGCATTGTGCTGTTTGATCAAACTGCACATATCAGGGTGGCCTTTTATTTTGGGCAGTTTAAGGTACACCTGTACATTATTCATGCTGTGTAATCAGTACCTTGATATGTCATCCCTATGAGGTGGGATGGATTATCTTGGTAAAGGAGAAGTACTCAGTAACACCGCAGACAGATTTGTGAACAATATTTGAGAATCATGGTCTTTTGTGTATGTAGATAATTTTTCAGATGTTTGAGTTCAGCTCATGAAAATTGGAGCAAAAAACAAAAGTGTTGCGTTTATATTTTTGTTCAGTGTATATTTTCACACGTATATAACTTGATTTTACCTCTTTTCTGCGCCTGGCTCCTTCAATCAAGACAGAATCCCATAAGCTCCAGTCACATAGTTACATGTCTCAGAGTGACATCATTGCAATTTTGCAAGAAGTCTTGAAGTTTGGCTATTTCTGTAAATAAAAGTAAATTGAATATTGAATTAGATACTTTGTTTTAATCTTACAATCCATTTCTGATTTATGAGGAAAAATAAACAACATATGCACCGAACAATATATTTTCTTTGAATCACAAACATCTTGAGATTCTGGACTGCCTACCATTGACATCTTCTTTTACACCTTTTCTTTCTAGGAACTCTTCAGCACTCACTGTGAACACTTTGAAGCAGTCCTCACTGAAGTGGTCCTGAAAAATAAAAGAAAGAGTTTTAATCTAAAGAAGCTTTGGCTCGCCAAACAATTTTTGGAATGTTATAAAACTCACACTCAGACTCTCATTCAGTTCCCGGAATTCACTCGTCACTTCTTTCTTGGCTTCCTTGTTTTTTATATCTCTTAAATGGGCAGGAAGGGAAATAGGATCAACATATAGCTTAATCACAAGCAAACATATCAAGAAAACAGCTGAGAGGTTTTGTTTTTGAGGATTTGCACATGGAGGGCAACATACCATGAAAAACTTTGAAAACTTTACCACTTTCAACATGATCAACATTATTAAAGGACTGACCATTTCAGGCCCTGCCCTCCTGCTTTCTTTTTATGTTCTGATGGATCTTGCTTTCTATCCTGTAGATTTCTGTTTTCCTCATAATCTAACATCATACAGTGTAACAGCAGTCTGGCGAGGAAGGAGCGGCTAGCAGGTCCAGCGAGCATGTGGTGTGGAGGTTAGCCAGATAACTCGAAGCCAGTTGGTTAAATCAAACAACAGACCTTTATTCAGTGTCAGCAACATTACACCTTACGAGCAGGTTCTCCACGGCTGTACTCGTCCGTGCATACATGAATGGAGATCGGTATCGTACAACAGTACGGTTTCTGAGAACAGAACACGAGCGCATGTAATGGCTGCTGCTAAAACACACACCCACTAGGAGACTCCACAACTATTATAATAGTAGGCAACCCCCCCCAAGTGGTGCTATAACCCAATAAGGGTTGTTACAACAGCTCTGCCTCATCTGAACCTGCTCCACACAGAACAACTAGACTAGTACAGCAAAAAAGTCTGCTACAACAGATAGAGGTTAGTGTGAAGTAATTCAAATTAATTTGAAGTAATGTGAATTAACAATTATTTAATCTTATTGAAGTTTAATTAATTTGTCCTTGTATTAATTGGAAAAGTTAAAGGTAAAACCCAGATTTTATGTCTCAGTATTACCTAAAGATTGAATGTGCAATTAGAAAATTAAGTATTACAGTTTTTCTTTTGCGTAATTATCAAAGCAGAAAAGTAATTTTCCTACTGAACTCCCAACCCGTAGTTCTCAAATCAGTAACACACTTCCTCACTCACTTTTGACATTCTCATTGTTTTTTCTACACATACTTTACTACTAAAAATATTTGTCACTATGTTGATATTTCCTACTTAAATCTGACAGCTTATAAAAAGAGTTATTTTTTCTTATATTTCGTGAATCTGTGCAAAATGTAGCCCCAGTTTCCTGTTTATAGCTAACAAGAGTTGTCTCAAATGTGGTCTTCTTTTGTTTTGTTATGTTTAGCGGGAAAATCCCAGTCCATCAACAACGCCTGAAATAATGACACCAGCCCATCTGACATCAACAACAGCGTAGTGTTCAATCATCTTTCTTTCTTATTCTAATGTTCAGTTTGAACTTTGCTTTTCTCAATTTAATAAATTTTGTACCATTACCAGAAGTTCCATGACTTTATTTTTGTGTCTTTAAAGAGTAGTGAATGGTTTTTATGCAGTCATGGGTTTTTTTTTAAGCTATTTGGTCAAAGCTCACATACCTTATACTAAAAACATGGTTCATTGATTGATTCATTATCATACAACTGTTAAATCTTAAGATAAAAAGTAATTACTGTAACAACTGTGTTGGGTTTAAAGAGCCTTTTAAAAAGTTGAAATCCCTGCCCATGAAGTAACAACAAACACACATGTGACAGGGTGTGGCTCGAGGCTAAGATGCAGGGAAAGGGTGTAGCAGCCGATTGAGGGGGCAGGGAAGAGTGGATGTCACAGCTGGTTTGTATTAATTCCATCATGTGTCCTCTATTTGGAAGCATGCTGGGCCCGGGCAAGAGAAGTTAAAGTGGACTGAGTAAGCTGTAAAGAGTGTGAGCACACCGAGAAGCTGAAAGGCCACACAACTGTTGCTGTACATAAAAGCACTGTGAATATGTAAGTTTTTTTTGTTTGTTTTAAAAAAAGAAAAGCAGCTGGATAGTGCAGTGGTAAGTCTACTCACCTTTGGAGTGGGAATCGCAAGTTTGATTCCCACCTGGTATCCCGTAAGGGTCCTGGATAGACCCCCAATGCTAAAAAAAACAAGCCATAGAATGGCGTGGCTACGTCCGCAGCTTGGACACAAGCATTTCACTACATGTTGTACTCTCTATAATTGTGTATGTGATGGGAAGAACGGTGTTAATTTTTTCAGCAACAAGTAATCTAACTAATTACTATTTCTATCGGTACAACGCCGTTACCGTTATTAACAAGAAAATGCGCTTTACTATTTTTCAACAAACAGACAGTTGAAGCTGTCTTCAGCTTACCGCACCTTATATCATTTGCACGGAAGTAGCTGTCTGCGTAAGTAATCTGGGCGCTACAGTTTTAAGCAGTTGCGCGCGCTCCCGCGGACGGCAATCACTTTCTGCCAGACAATCACTTTTTGGCACCTAGAGCTAGGGGGCAAAACAATCTCGTGAGTGCTGCTGTTTGGCTGAGGAAGAATAAAGTAGTAGTGGTAAACCAATCACATGACCACTTCAAGATGCCAAAGTAACAAGGTGCTATATCACAGTTTTTAAATTGTGTTGATAGCCACGTAAAACCAGAGTCATGATAAACAATATATACGTGGTGTTTTTTCCTGAATACTTTCCTCATGTTTACTGTCCAAGGACAGCGCTAGCAAGCACTCTCTGCTTATGACCAAAAAATAAAACAAAACGAAAAACACCCATTTCGTGTTTGTGGAAAAATGTACAATGTCGACCAATTAAAAATGACATGGCAGCATGACATTTGGTTGTTTAGGAAGAGGGTGAGTTTTAGGAGTGACGGCGAGAGAGAGAAAGAGAAAGAAAGAGAGCTGAAAAAAGAGAGCAAGTTTTGAGATGTGAGAGATTTGTGACGTTTAGCGTGTTTGGAGTGTGTAGTTAGTGTGTTGTCTTGTGTAGTTAGTGCGTAGTGTTGTGGATAGTTGTGTGTTAGAACAATGAGGTGACTGCTGAATGTTACAGGTGCTGCAAAAAGGCAACAAAGGCAGATTGCAGTGTTAATGGTGTCTCCAGGTAGAAAAAAGGGGAGTGATACATCTCCTCTTGTCAGACCTGCAGGTATCAGGCTTGTGATATTCTTCTTTATAGTGGACAGAAATTATTTTTGCAGTGGCCCAAATAATTTGTGTGGCATCTTCTTTAATGTAGAACACCTGATTGTTATGTAAATAGTTTGAAATGGTTATTTAAAAAAAAAAAAAAAGGTAAATGGCTGCAAATTTGCAGCTAACTTGTGTCATGGTCCTGGGTCGGTGACCCAGTATTTTGAGTTTTGTGTCATTATTGAATTTTGATTTTGTCATAGTTTATCTTTTCTAGTCTTTCGGTTCCTGTGTTCCAGGGTCTGCTGTATTCCCTAGTCAAGTCTGCGTCTGTTATGTTTCCTGTTTTACTTTGGAAGTCTGTGTCCAATGTCAGTGTCTTTAGTTTCACTTCCCTGTCCCGTCTTTAGGTTCATGTGTGTCAGCTGTGCTCCCATGTGTGACCACTTCCCTTGATCATCCCTTATGTGTATTTAGTCTCTGTGTTTCATTCAGTCTGTGTCGCGTCGTCTGTGTTCCATGCCCTATGTCATGTCAGGTTTCAAGTCTCTGTGCAGGTCATGGCTCATGATGCTTATTCTTATATTTCACAGTTCCCTCATGATCCGGCACAGTCTTGTTCATAGCCTCACTGTTATTAGTTTCTTCCCAGTTTAGGTTCCTGTTTAGTTGTTGTCCCTGTTCAGTTCTCGTTTAGTTTAGTTCATGTACTCCAGCCTCAAATAAAGGCTCTCCTTGTTTAAACATGCACCATGGTGTGGTCTTTCTTTGCTTGTGACTTCTTGATGTTGGTAAATACAATAATTGAAAAATACCACGTTACATATAATATATACATATAATAATGTACAACACATTATGGAGTATGCTTCTGCTGTGAGGTCTTGCCTCCATGCACGTATGCATTTAATCGCTAGACGGGTGTATTTATAAATAATATTATATTAGGGAAATTTTCCCAGACATATTTTTGACCTGGGGGTAGAATTGATTGAGAAATGGAAACGGAAAATGCTTATGAACTTGCAAATTAAAAACATGATGCATTTAAGGTAACCCTTTTCCATTTTTATTTAAAAAGAGAATTTGTTCTAGTGTGCGATGGCCGAACCTGTTCCTTTTCGTGGAGATAATTTCTCCTGCCTTAAGGAAATTCCCTTCACATGGCACAGAAGAGGCTGGAGTGCAGAGAAACTGGTAGAGATGCAGTTATACAGTCTACCTGGGCCCCACAAACTATCAGCTAAAGAGAATAAATAAATTCAATTGCTGCACATTTGGCAGACTAACATTTTCAGATTAATTAAACAATAAAATATATATTTTTACAACATTACATGTAAAGAATCAAGTGGAAGTTTTTCTAAAGTTATTTAATGATATTTATATTATGGAAGCAGATGTTTGACATTTTACCTTTTTCCCATTTTCAGATATAATAAACACGCACAAAACAAAAGCAAACAGCCAGAACACAAAGCTGGAAAACCCACCCGATTGACAAAAATCAACTCAAAATTCTCCCACACAAGAGAACCTCCTCTATTTCTCGCTGGCTCCAAATCTCTCAGTAGAATGATCAGTGGTTCGCTATCTGTCACCAGTGTTGGGGAGTAACGGAATACATGTACCGCCGTTACGTATTTAAAATACAAAATATGAGTAACTGTATTCCGTTACAGTTACCGTTTAAAAAGGTGGTATTCAGAATACAGTTACTTTGTTGAAATAAATGGATTACACTGCGGTACTTTCCTGTTTCATTTTGTCGCGGGTCAGGACTGTTTGGGTTTTGTTTGACAGCTACGTTCTGTTGTTCCAGGCGGCAGCGTTACGGTTGCCATGGTTACAGGGTGACGCTCTCTCTCTCTCTCTCTGCGACTGTGTGTTTCCTGGGTGAGAGAGCGCCTTTTCGTTGTTGTTGTTGTTGTGCTAAGCTAACAGGCAGAATGCTACAAGCATAGCTCTAAAGAATGTAGCATCATGGGCAGTGTAGTCCGTGTTGCAGGGAGAATGGACTGCCATACACGTTATGTGTCTGTGAGCGCGAGGAGGGAGAAAAAGGGGAGTGGAAAGGTACGAGTTGTCATCGAGGAAAAACGGGAGCTGGAAGCATGTAAATATAATAATAACCACTGCAGCCAAGAAGAGTGCCTGACGAGCCCAGTTGTAAGTAAGCTATTAAGACTCGACTGTACACCGTGTTCGTGTTTTCCTCCGAAAATAATAAGTTCCGTTGGAGCAGCATTTCAACGCCTCTCTCTGTCTCTCGCAAGAAAAGTTGACCCACACAACAAAGTAAAGCTATTTTTTGGCTACGAGCCGACAGGGACCCCGCCGTATTAGTCAGAGGTCCCTTTACTACAGTTCGGAGTCGCGGACCTTCAGTAATAGTAATAAATCACACAGCAATAGTACATTCACGTTGTTGTAAAAAGCATGATAATATATTAAGTAATCCAAAGTATTCAGAATACGTTACTCTCATTGAGTAACGTAACGGAATACGTTACAGAATACATTTTGGGGCATGTATTCTGTATTCTGTAATGGAATACATTTTAAAAGTAACCTTCCCAACACTGTCTGTCACCATCAAAACACTCCACAAATCCCGCGAATGATTCACCTGCTTATAAACCATTGAATCAGACACCGAAGCAGTCACACTCTAAATGAAGCTTCGGACGTCACTGATCATGTGACTCTGGCCAAACGAATCAAGCTTCGACACAGTGCTTCTGAAGCAGTGTGTTGATTTTTTTGACACACGCACCGGAGCTTCAGCTTCAAGCGGGCCATCACTACTCCACACGGTCAGCCACTGCGAACCGTTACAATTTGTGCATGGGATTTTAAGATTTACAATTTATATTTGTATTTAAGTTATGAAATATGATTCATTTAACATGTTTGTGGTTGTTACAGCATAAAATATGACTTTTTCTACTCAGATTTTATGTTTGGTTTTTTTTGTCTGATTTTTAGATCAGTTGTATTAATAGAGTATGTCAAAATGCAAACATAACTGTAAATTCAGATATGTGAGGCTGTACTGAAAAGAATGACACCAAACAAGGCAAAGTAAATAGTTTTTAATGGTGATATGTAAAGGTCAAATTAAAAGTAGTCGAAAATGGTCAATTATACCCGGGACCCCAGAAGGTTAAAATTTTTTTTTAAAGTAATGCAATAGTTACTTTTCCCAGTAATTAATTACTTTTAGAAACTCAGTTACTAATTTGGTTACTTTTTGAAAAATAACTAGTAACTATAATTAATTACTTTTTCAAAGTAACTTGCCCAACACTGGTGACAAATAAAGGTTGTTTGTTTTGTTTTGTTTTTTTAAAAATACACCATTATTCGCTGTGAGTTGGGTACTGACTTCACAAAGAATTTTACCAGTACTGTGTTAGTGTTGAGAATATTATGTGTTTTTAGTAAATATCTGAATGCAACTATTAAATATTTCTCCAACAAGATTGATCAGTATGTGATTTTAAATTTTTTTTAAATTATGCACTTTGACATCTTAATTCACTTACCGATTGTCTGAAGGATCAGACTTGGTGCAGATAAAGTGAATTTGCTCACACTGACCACCATTTCCAATGAGGCCATGTGCACTTTTTAGAATCTCCCAGGCCTCATTCTCTGATGCTGCCCGAGTAATTTCAGCCACAATCCACACAGTAGAACAATCTCCAACAATCTGAAATAAATTATAGCACGTCAATTATAAATAATTAATACAAAAGATGTTAAAACAACACCAGAAAAACAACAAGAAGTTGATGTGAAAAATTACTTGTCTCCACATTTCGTTCCTGCTCTTGTTGCGATCGCCATTTCCAGGAAGGTCCACAAGTGTGACATGCTGGAGAAACTTATTGTTTGGCACCCTGACAGTCACACACTTTACTAGTGGCCAGTACCACTGCTGTGCTTTATATCCATCTTCCTGCTTTGGAACATACTTTGTATATTTAAAAAGTTCTTCAGATAGCTTTTCAGCCTGCAATAAACAAGATAAATAAGATTAATACATTTACAATTAAATCGGTAAATTTAAAAAAGAAACCCAAATTGTAGACTAAATTTTTATCTTGGGAAACATTTTAGATTTTTTTTAATGTTTAGATTTAAGGATGATCAAACTTAGGCACATATATGCACACAGCATCACAGACGCATTTGTTAATGCAGCTTCCCTAGTGTTTTATGTTTACAGCTAACAGACGCCCTGTTTGCAGACCTATAGTCTTGTGATATCCAATGCAAATTGTTAACTTATTTGCACGAGCAGTTGAAACTGTTCCTGTTATACCCTTAAACTTTTACATTCATACATTTCTATCATCATACAGGCCTGAGAATTACAGTAAAGTGACAGAGCGTTGTGGTAATGGCTCCTAGACTCTGGAGCTCTCACCCACTGAGACGTGTGATTTGCGTTAAAAAGCAGCTAAAAACTCAACTTTTAAATTTTGGTTTTGTGTAGCTTTCTCTCTTTATGCTGCCAGCACTTTGGTTCTGAACTACATTGTAATATTTATTTCAAAAGTTGTAAAAAGGCTTACTTTTTACTTAACATTACAAAAAGTTATTACTTATGAAAAATTGACATTCTTCTGGAGAAAAAGTATAGGATTGACATCAGTAGCTAGTATTGACCCCTTTAATCCTAAACTAGAGATGGTACGATACCACTTTTTTATGACCGATACCGATATCATAAATTTGGATATCTGCCGATACCGATATGAATCCGATATAGTGTTTTTTAATCAATAAAAATGTTTTTTAATATCTTGTTGCATTTTGTATAAGTTCATACTCAAGTTTAAATAAACAACAACACTAAAGCTATTCTGTTATACCTGTATGTAAAAAAATACACTGCACCCAAAATATTTCATAGTTCAGCAATAGTGATCAATCTAATAAACTTAAACCTACACCATCCTTCCTATTCTGGTATTTTAAAGAGTACTTAGCAGAAAAATTAAGCAACCTAACTAATAGGGTTGCAAACTCCCAGCAAAAAAATAGGGAACCACCCTCCACCTCATGATGCTTAATCGAAGTAATCAACTTTAATTTGATGCAGTGTGAAAAAAAATGCACAGAATTAAATTATTTTTCAAGAATAATTAAATAGATTCAACATCTTTCTTCAACAAAAATGCAGACTGCACAGATGGTATCTTCCCAAAGGAAAAAGTAGTATAGCTTACTTGGTATATTAGACTTCACAGTTACTATATACAGTAATGAACTTCTATACATTTTTCATCAGATTAAAACTTTGGGTGTAAGATTCAGATAATTATTTATTAAAAGCTAGACATTTTAAATGAGAATAAGAAAGAAAAGTATGTCTTTGTGCCCCCTTTTCCCTGTTCATGCCCTATCGGCCCCCCCTGGCTAAACTTTGCTAGATCCGCCCCTGCACAGTTACCAGCCGTCAGCTGCGTAGAAAAGGATCCTGGTGTAGAAAGTAATATTAAATAAATTCTAACAACAGCTTATCAAGGTTAAACGTGCTGCTGTTGTTCAGCCGCTGGTTTCCTTTTTCTGGCGCGAAGTGGGCCAAAAACAAAGAAGAGAAACGGGAGTCGCGACAGAAAAGCCGATCAGCTGATCATTGATCAGTTTCATGATTGAAGTAGCAACAGGAGAGGGAGGAAGAGAGAAGAGGCAGTCCTCCATATATCGGTTGTTAAGCTTAACATGGGAATGCTTTACAAACATTCAGAGATAAACTTACACACTTGCTTTACTTCTCTCGGGGATAACATCCTCTGAGATGAAATGCTGGTTTGGTAGCGAGGCTACAATACACAAAGCCGCTCTATCACGTGACGCACACTGCTCTGACGTGCAACAATTATGAGGCGAGTTATGCCGTGTCGCAAGTTTTGTGAGGTGCTTTTTTGATATTTAATGGATCGGATTACATTTTTGCCCTATGACAGCTGGGATAGGCTCCAGCGCCCCCCGCGACCCTGAAAAGGATAAGTGGAAGCGAATGGATGGATGGATGGATTACATTTTTTATTTCTCTCCGATATCCGATCCAGTAATTTACGTCAGTATCGCACCGATACCGATACGTAATATCAGATCGGTCCATCTCTACCCTAAACCCAGCAACTTATGTCTTTTAAAATTATCCACCAATCTCTGACATTAACCTATTGAGAGATTTAACTACTCTGTTGTGCAAATATCTTTACAGCCATAAAATACTTGATTATTTTCTCAGTTACTGTTACAGTTACTGTGTGATTCAAATTTCAGTAGGATTCAATATTCACTAATAATAATAATAATAAGGCGGCACGGTGGTTGGCGCTGTTGCAAGAAGGTCCTGAGTTCAATTCCACCATCAGGCCGGGGTCTTTCTGTGTGGAGTTTGCATGTTCTCCCCGTGTTTGCGTGGGTTCCCTCCGGCTTCCTCCCACCGTCCAAAGACATGCAGCTTGTGGGGATAGGTGAATTGGATAATCCAAAATTGCCACTAGGTGTGAATGTGCGAATGAATGTGAGTGCGAATGGTTGTCTGTCCCTGTGTGTTGGCCCTGCGACAGACTGGCGACCTGTCCAGGGTGTACCCTGCCTCTCGCCCTATGACAGCTGGGATGGGCTCCAGCGACACCCCCCCGCGACCCTGAAAAGGATAAGCGGAAGCGAATGGATGGATGGAATAATAATAATAATGGATTGCATTTATATATCGCTTTTCGAGACCGTCAAAGCGCTTTACAATCCCACTATTCATTCACTCTCACATTCACACACTGGTGGAGGCAGCTACAGTTGTAGCCACAGCTTCTTCGGGGCAGACTGACAGAAGCAAGGCTGCCATATCGCAAACTAAATGCTGTGGCCCCAGAAACGGAAACACTAGGAAACGTGGAACACGGAACCAGGAACGATTGAATAGGGACATATGGAGAAATTTAAACCACATGGGACAAGGCGACAGTGGGCAGAGGAAAACACAGGGCTTAAATACACAAGGGAGTAACAAGGGATTGAGACACAACAGGAGAGCACAGCTGGGAGTATTCAAACATGACGAGACAAAGGGGAAGCATAACTCAAAACACTGAACACAGGACATGAGGCTATCAAAGTAAAACAGGAAACACAAGACAGGCATGGAGAAGCAGACTTGACAAGGAGGTATGGCTGACAGGGAAGACAAAGCAAACATAGAGCACAGAAACAAGAGTAACAAAACATGGAAAACAGGGAAAGAAAGGTAACAGAAACCTAAAGACTAAAACTAAGAATATATTTTAATGTGTCTGGGAAAGCTGACCAACACAGCTAATCTCCATCAACTAATCATGCATCTGGGGTGCCTTCAGCACACGAGGTAGAACCAGTTGTCCAATAATCATAAGGTTGGTGGCTAGATCCCTCTAACTTGGGGCAACATACGCCAAGTTAGAGCTATATACGAATCAATCTCTCCTATTTAAGTAGGATGCTGGGACCTGACAAGGGAGCTCAGCTGCAGGAGGCAGCTGGAAAATGTAAATAAACATCCACGTGCCTTGGGTCCTTTTTCCACATCTAGTTTTCAAACCAGTCAAAAGCAGCACTGAAGTTTGATAAGGCAAGAACAGATTTGTTTTAATATTTTGGTCTGTACATTCTACTTTCCTTTTATATTGTTTTTTTCTTATTTTTTTAATAACAGAATAGGCTGTCTATAAATTATATCATATTATATCAATGCAAGCAAATTCCACTCATTGAAACAACAAACATGGAAAAAAAATGAAGTAATAGAATAGTATTTGAACTTACTGTGTCACAATGCAAAAATTTCCTCTTGGAATCTAAAAATTCTAGAATATTTTTGAAATACTTTTTTTCCAAGAGGTTTTCAGGGGATTTGTCTTTCCATTCTTCTCCATACAGGGCTGACAGCTTTTTAACCATGTCCCGATAATCATCACCTTTCTTAAGAGTCTTCAGTGACCATAATTCATCATGCCACTCCTAAAAGACAAAAATCATTGCATTTTAGTTTTATAAATTGTAATGTAAAGCAAATACCTGCTGTATTTTTGTAAATACATATACTGTAGCTTTAAATAAAATATTTAATTCTCACCTCCTTCGTAATGAACTCAATTTCTGCCTCATACTTTGGGCTGCAAGTGTTAGCCTCCACCTTTATCATGACTGTGGTGCATGCACTGATTATTCCAGTGGCCAAAAGATTCTTCTCATTAATGATGGTATTGATTAAAGAGCTCTTTCCAGCCCCAGTTCTTCCAAAGACACCAACAAGCTCTCTCTTGTCGGTTTCCAAATCATTAATTTTGTTCCTGTTGTACAAGTGGGTTAATTTATTCAACCATGAAATGTGTTGCAAAATGAGGAAGACCCCTTTCTGTGCCCAGATTGTTAAATAATAATTTAAAAGTCATTATATTATTATATTATTATTATATTATACTTTTAAACGAACAGTAAGATGAGCTATGTACATATGTAATGTACATATGTACAGTATGTAAATGCTCACTGGAATTAGTTGGCTTGGTGGTTCATTCTTCTTGTGTGTTTAAAGTTTTACGATACAATATTTAACCTATTAATACTACAACAGTTTGGAATGAATGCTTTTGTTCTAATTATCTTTGTTCTAATAAAATCTGTATATGATTTTCTTTCACCATGATTGTTACTAAACTAAAATGTTTTTTACCCAGATGTTTATGTAACAGAATAAGGGAACGTTGATACTCACTTTAGGAAAGTACTTAGCTTGTCTTGGCCATGGAGACTGTTACTGACATCTTTCATGATGCCTTTCACCTCAGATAATATTCTTGTTTCTGTCACTGTGAGAGTAAAGAAGTGTTTAGCAGGCACCAGTTTAATGCACAATGTTATACACTGATAATGAAAAACTGGACTATATCACTTATTAAAGGAGCAGTGCATGGCAGTAGGTTGATTACTTCATTTAAATATTATTTTTGTGTATGCCAGACACCAGCAAACCAATAAGAAAGTATTTTCTGTTTCTCTGGCAAAGTCAGACACATGCAATACAGCAAAAGATTCACTGCATAGAAGTTTTACCATACAGTGCAGTGAAACTGTCATTCTTTGGAAACAAATGTAAAAACCTGAGTCACGTTGTCTTTTAGTTGGTGATTGCCATTTGTTGGATTGCCCCTGAAGATCTGATTTTCTTTTTCCTTATTAGATTAGAAAACACAAAAGGTTAGGTTTGTTGTCTCTGTCAGTGGAGGTATTTGGTCAAAATCAAAGTGTTTCTGTCTTAAAAGATGAATATTATAAGTAATTCATATGTGACATCTGTCTCACCTTTTGAACTTGTGGATGGTGGAACCTGGAAATTAAAATGGACATTTAGTTTTTTTTTTTTAATGCAAAGAAATGAAAGCTCTTCACACAGGTATCATTTAACCGCATTTTTAAGAACATATGTCTGAACACATACTTCCGCAATCCACGCAGTGAAATGCAAATTTACTTTCTGTCTCATCTGGGATTAGAAATATTAACCCTTAAAAGCTAAATACAGAAAATGGACAATGTACATCAGCTGTATATGCATGAAGAATAAAGGCGTGTCTTGAAATTTAACATAATTCTGACCTGAACCAATTTTGTTGTTTCTTCATTCTCCTGTTTACAATAAAGATTAAACACACAGGTGCAAGATCATGTAAAATTTTGAGCAAACAGTGAAAGTATGACTCCTGGTAAAAAATCATAGCCAATCAGAAACTTCTTAACTTACCTGAGTGGAAAAATCGGGTGTTTCTTGCCTTATGCTTTGTTTACTCTAGCAAAAAGAAAATCCATAACTGTAAATGAGTGATACAATTCTAGAAAATGCTATTGTTGTCACAAAGATATAATCTCAAAAAGCTGAACGCAATTATTTATGAGGGCTAGAAGGATCACGTGAAATGAAGCATTTTGTGCTTTAATTAAATGTGCAGTTTATTATGGTTAGTAAATGTATTTGCAAATCCTTTTTTAAATTCTTTTATTTATTTAAACATTGCTAAACTCAAGTTTATAGAAAATTAAAAGGGTAATTGTAAATCCACACTTAACTGACTTATTAATTAATTAACAAATACTTAAAACTACAAGTGGATTTCACAAAATACAATTAAACCCTTTTTGAATTGAACCTTTTTTTGCCTCTAAAGAACACCTACCTGCCTGGTCTTCATGGTAATTATAAAATGTTCTCTAATAGTCATTGATTCATATGATCTGTTTCACAATGTCTATAGGTTTTACAGTTAAGCACCAAAAGTCACTACATGATTGAAGTACAAACTTCATGTCTCATTAATATATATTATACATTTATGCACACCTCACGCTTTTATTGAGCAAAAACAAACAGTTCATCTTATTTTTTTATTTTAGTAGACAACGCCGACACTTTATAATAGACAGCCAGTTAGCTGTTTAAAAATTTTTTATGTGAATTTTAATTCAGAAATGAGTATGGCATTCTGAAATTGATGCATCCTCAGGTTTTATTGCTGTTAGAGTAGCAGGAAGTGGCATTTTCAAAAAAGTTGGAGGTTTTTTTAACAACATTTGCGCCTAAAAAAAAGTTAATTTTGTGTAATAGAAATAGCAATCCTTTTTTTTTTACAGTTTAAAGTTATCTGCCATTGCTGCTTTGTGACTTTCGTATGAAATGCATTGTGGGACAATTGGCTGCACCAAGAAGTGTGGGTGCTTGTACCAAGGCTATTTGTTCTTGGGATTCACATCTTGGGATTTTTAGCTGCTGTAAGAAAGCAACTAAAAACTGTAAGAATCAGCACTGAGCCCTCTTAGAGCAACCTACAACCTTTAAAACATGTTTAAAATGCTGTCTGTAAACACATCAGTAGAGATGTTACCACATTGATTTTTAAAACTCTGAGTTAAAAGAATTGAGACAAAAAATCTTTTAAATAGATCATCAATTTTAGATATGAAGTCTTTATTTTTTCCAGACTTCTATCTGAGTTGGCCTGACAACATGCAGACGAATAAAGGTCATGTGTTAAGCTTATAACAGTTTCTTTAATACTGGTTTTAGCATCTTTGCATTCAACGTCTTTTATCAGTAAGAACGCAATCACTTCACTTTTTTCTTTTCTTGTATAAGCTGCTAAAATAAGAAGTGTTTCCCCCCTCTTTAATCCACCTTGCTCTGGATCAGGTCGAGAAATATCAGATTACCAGTGCAGTGTTCATGGAATCTAACAAAAGCACTTCTTACTTTCTTTGCATACATATAATCTAATTTGGATTGTAAACTGTCTTTATCTTGATAATTTAATACGATTTTATCACCGAATTTCACACGAATCACAGATCACATAATTTCTTGTAACAATAAAGCTTTCTTTGTTTTTTTTACTTTAAACATTTTTTTAGTTAACAATATTTAAAATAGACTTTTTTTAATTTCAGAAATTCCCATTTATTATACAAAGACATATAGAATAAAAAATAATTTGGAAATAAATTGACCAATGTTTATTTTGTTGCACAATTTATTATTAAACCACAAAACGCTTTATGTTGATGCATGTGACTCTTCTGCTCCTCCATATTTATATGAGATTTTTAAGACCAAATGTAAAATTACATAAGCAGACTTTTTTTTTTTTTAATTACCTTTAAGTCCTCAAGTCTCTTTCTGAATCTTGACCTTAGACCAACTTCAGGGATTAACTCAGTTATGTCTTCATTGGTAAGACAGAAAAGGCTTTCCTCTGTAACTTTGTTAGCTGTAATTAAATATTAAATCTCAGTTATAGAGATGCACACAATTTCCAATTTCATTAGAAATCCACTTCATGAAATAAAGTGAAATAGGCATGGTTATTTATTTTAAATGCCATTGAGCCTTTTTTGTAATACATTTTCTGTGATGACGGTGTAGAAGTGGCTACAGCTCTCTTTAAACACAGCGTAAAATACAAAATATTAGTGTTGTACAGCACAACCATATCAAGAGATTTTTAGTTTCAGAGATATTAAAATCTTTGTTTATGAAGAATTAGTTATTATAATTTACCTTCAAATCGTTCCTCCAACTCTCTTAGCCCCCATTCAAGCAGTTTGTTTCTTATGAAATCGGCCATGATCAAGAAATGAAACTGAAAAACGTAACATTTAACCAGACAGTACTGCTTTACAGATTAGACCTTCGTGATCACCTTCTGCCTCAATGCATATATAATCAGAGAGGCTAACATTAAATTTAAAGTTCAAACTGCTCACCTTTTGTTGAAAGTAATGCAGGAAAAGGCTGGTGAGGGAGATGCGAAGTAAGCAGTGAGACACAAACAGGTGGGAAAAAAAGAAGTCAAATTGCAAAAAAACCCAACACCACAAAAACACTGTATCCAAGGACAGATACGGTTAAAAACAAACTGGAACTGAGTGGCGAACTGAGAGAGAAAGGCAGGAAGAGCTGGTTTTGTGCAGGGCAGATGGGAGTGGCTGAGAGAGGGGTAACAACCTGCCCCGCAGCAAGTGTAACAAAAGTACTTGTGTTGTTCCCTTATTAACTAAAGGTCATCACAACAGACAGCTCCACATGTTAGGAATTTGTGCTGTGAACCAGGATAAAAACAGGAATCACTTGTTTCTTAGGAAAACAGAAAAAACATTACATTGTGGAGCGATTAACATTAGGCCAAGGCTAAGCTGGACTGGCCATCGGGCATACCGGGCATTTGCCCAGTGGACTGATGGTATTTTTTTGTTTTTATGAGCCGATGTTTTTTTGTTTTGTTTTTCGGTAACGGTATAAACAACGAAAGGTGGTGGATTGGCCAATTTGTCATGATAGACTCTGGGCTGGACCAGTTACAGCCGAGGTGGTTGGCTGCACCCTCCCCCTTGCTTCGGCAACGGCTCTGAAAGCAATCTTATCACAGACAAACAAAGAAAATGGTATTGAGGTGAAAAGAAACACAACTTGTCCAGTAGTTTAGCTAGAATAAAAAAAAGAAAGACACAAAGCTGGAGTTATTCTGCATCTTTACGCTGTCAGCTGCCTCTTCTTCTTCTCTCATTCTCTCACCCTCCCTCTCCTGTTGATACTTCTTGAAACATGAAGTATCTCTCATGAAACTGTTCAATGATCAGATGATTGACTTTTCTCTCTTGTTTGTTTATCTTCTTTGTTTATCACTTTGCCGCAGAAAGAGGAAACCAGCGGATGTCGCGCTAAACAACAGCAGCACGTTTAACCTTGATAAGCTGTTGTTAGAATTTATTTAATATTACTTTCTAGTATCAGCTGATATTTGCTGGAGCCACAGCTGTAAAAGCTACAGGAGCACGTTCCGTGAGAGACTGAGATTACCAAAAAGCACCACTGAACAACACAGGAAGTCCTTCCTGCCCATGGCCATCTCCCTGTACAAGTCCTCCATCTAATACACTATATACACTGTAAACACTGCAATAGTTACAGCCTTTTTTGCACACGCTCTTTTCTACTCAGTAATGTTGCTGTCAACATTCACTTTGTTTTATAATCACCTCTGTCAATCCTTGAGATTTATTCAGTGATTTGTATATATTGTGCTATTTCTTAAAATCTGTAAATCTGTAACATATTGTATTGTTAAATAGTGTTGTTTGTTGTTTCTGTTACTGTATTGGAGCAACTGTAACCTACATAATATACTTAGGGATTAATAAAGTATTCTGATTTTGATTAGCGAGATAGCAAAAGAGAACGAGAACAGCACCATAAAACACAACCACCTGGGAAGGTGAGAAAATGAGTGACAGAAACACAGTAAACATTTGCACTGATCATACAAAGATGGGCTTAAACTGTTACCTGGATTCAGATTTTTTTTCTTTTTGTTTTACATATTTCAATTTGTATTTTCTTGTTTGATGTTGTTTCACTGTAATAGTTTAAAAGGCCGGGAGAAGGTGATTAGACTAGACCAGTGGTGACACAAACTGCTTGAAAGCATGGGAGTGATGCTTGCCATTGTAAAAATATACACTTTCTCAAAAAAAGTCCCACCAAGATGCACAAATTTACATAGTTAAAGACCAAATCATTGCACGGCCTAGGGAAATAAAGGATGTGGCATTTTGAGATGGCACATCTCAGCTGTGGTAATAAGGCAGACCTGAAACATAGGATGAGAAAGAGCTCTCTCACATGAGGTGAGCACCTAGAGGTAGAGCTGGGTGATATGAGATTTTTTCATATCACGATATGTTTTTTTCATTTCAGGCGATAACGATATCTATCACGATATAAGCCAAATAACTATATTTGTAAGATTTAAATGTGCCGTTGCTCACAAGTAAAATGTGAAATAATCAGCAGCTTGTTTTTATTTAAATATTTATTTCCCATAATAAGTTCAACAGGGTAGATGTACTTAAGGAACATGAGACTTTTTCAGATAAATAAAGGCAAATATTGCAAACTACACAAAAGGCAGCCGCTAAAGCGTTTAAGTTTCAAAATAGAACAAATGAAACAGACTACTAAATTGTCAATTCCACTTAGAAACAAAGTATTAATTCTAAAAATAAATCTTAGTTTGTTTTGCAGAAGAACAGACAAAACTGACTAACTTTTGTCAATATCAAATAAACTGAGAACTAAAAGGAAATTCTCAATCTCTCCTTGTTGTATAGCTTAGCTTTTCAAACAGTTTTAACAGTTACTTTAGTCTGACAAAAGCCGAATGACGAATTAGCGCTTCCAGTCAGAGACTGAGGCTACGTCCACACGTACACGGGTATTTTTGAAAACGGAGATTTTCCGTTTTTGTTTTAAAAAATAATCCCGTCCACACATAAAGGCAGAAATGAAGGAAAACGCTGCTATGAACATGCCAAAGCAGCAGGTGGCGCTAGATTCCTAACCGTGCAGAAATGTTGGCCAATCAGAAGTCTAGAAGCCTCGGTGGGAAAAAGTAAACAAAGCTGGGGCATAGAAGCAGAACAGAGTCGTATGTGTGGACGGACAGTAACTGTGTGTATATGTAAGCATTTAAACACTGCAGAGAGTAGAATTAACAGTAACAGTATTGTAGAAATTCATTTCACCGAAACAATAACGTGGCGCACAGTGTGACGCATGCACCAGTTTATTGTATTTCCAGACTTGCTTTCGGCACAATTTACAGTGCACGCTACTCTGTTTTTTGTCAGACATGAAATAGCCGAAATACCTTCACACTACGGAACTTCTTTGGCTCTTCCGTTCGACAATCTCTCCGGCATTGGAACCATCATCTGTTTTCTCTTCGGTCACGCTCGGTTGATTTTTCTAGTCGGCACACTCATTTCCTCCATTACGCGCTGGCTCCATTACCCGCTGGCTGCTTCCCAAACAAACACACGTGCGGCTTGGCACTTGTGCTGTACGTAACAAGTCACGCGACGTGACGCTGATGGTTCGGCTCTGCGCTACTTAATTTGGATCGGCTGACCTTTTTTTTAAGAGGACAAGAGCGGCGAGGTCTATCGCGATAGCTTAATTTCTCTATCGAGTAAAAGTTATATCGCGATACATATCGTTATCGTTCTATCGCCCAGCTCTACCTAGAGGTCAGCAACTTTAACACCCTTCTTGTACACAGCATCACTGTTGGTCCTCCAGTCCAGTCTGTCATTCAGGTGAACACCCAAGTATCTGTTGTTGTCCACCGTTTCCAGAAATTTACCCCTGATGCTGATGGGCCTAATTGCAGTTTATTTTTCTACGGATGTCAGCCACCATCTGTTTTGACTTATATTTAGAAAGAGGAGATTTCTTCCAGACTATTCAACAAAGTTCCTTACCAGCTGCCTGAACTCTGACTTCTGCACCTCATAATACACCCAACAACTGCAGTGTCATTAGAGAACTCCTTCAGCTGGCATGTTTCACTGTTGTACTGGAAATCTGAGCTGTACGAGGTAAACAGGACTAGAAATAGGACAATCCTTAGTGGTGCCCAGTACTACTAAGCACCACATGAGAGAAGGTGTTCCCCAGTCATGCAAACTGAGGCCTCTCTGAGAGAGAGTCAGCAATCCAGGAGACAGTAGACGTGGTGACGCCTATCCTGAGCAGCTTCTCACTCAGCACAAGTGGTTGGATGGTATAAAAGGCATTGGAAGAATTAAAAAACATGATTCTGACAAAGCTAGCAGTGTCATCCAGGTGAGAGTGAACACACTGCAACAGTGAAACCAGCATCATCTACCCCTACATGAGGCTGGTAAACAAACATGAAGAGTGTCAAAGCCATGCTTCACCTACAAACTAAACCGAGCAAGAACCACCTCGGGCACCTTCATGACATGTGACATCAGTCAACAGGTTTGAAGTAGGCAGACTCTGGTGCTACGGCCAGGCAGGCCAGTGTGTTTAAAGTGGAGTGTGTTTAAAGTGCCATTTATTTAGGCTGTGTTGTGGAAGTTTCCATTAAATAAAGCCTGCAGACGAGCGGTGAGTGGTAGCTAACATTCTTTAATCAAAACACAAAGAACAGACAACCAAGTTGGTGGAGAGCCTGCATGACCGCGGGGCAGACGGTCAGCATAGTCTCTCTGAGCTTAGCATGGCTCTCAGTTAAATACCTTCCACAGGAACAAAAGGCAGTACACAGCTGTTTCACACCTTAAGGTTCACACTCCCTTGCTGCCTCAAAGAGACAAAAGACTCTTCCTGTGGAGTTGTCTGCTTTCCCCAACTTCCTTACCCCCACCATTTGTCTTACTGTATGAGTGTGAGACATGTTAAAATCCAGTGGCACCAAGGCATTATACAATAAAATAATGTGATTAATACATAAGTAAAAGAAATTCCTATACAGCTGATAGCAAAACAAAACAGGGCGAGGCGAACTGAGGCAAAACTAAACCAAAATCTAAACTGGGAAGAGGTAAGATTACCTACGAAGACTGTGACATAAAAAATGATCATGAATCTCAACTGGAGCATGCAAAACCAAGACTTGAGGCAGTCAAAACATGAACCTGAACAGAAACATGAAAAACCCTGAGACCTGAAATGACATGAATCAAGACAAACAGATAAACCAACACTGAGCAGGGGGAGAGAGGACTTAAATGCACAAAAGGGTAATGAGGAAAGTGAAAACACCTGGGGAAACAGAGCTGACACAAATGAACCTGACGCCACAGGGGGTGCAAAACTAAACACTTCGAAACACAAGACTTTCAAATTAAAACAAGGAAAGGAGCATGAGAATGGGTAAGGGAGAGGCACGAGCACAACTAAAAGTTATACGTAGAGGACAAAACAAACTTACACAGAAAACAGGAAAAGACTCATAAACAAGCAGACATGGACGATGACATTGACTTGACTAAACCCCAACTAATATTAACACAATAACTTAACATAAATACAAAATAAA